AAAAAAAAAAAAAAAAAAAAAAAAAAAAAAGAAAGTATATAAAGTAAAAAGTTCTGATCCTTTAAGAATAAAGTTGAAGCTCACATGGTACACTTTGTTAGTAGTTAGACATGTTTCTCCAGTATGGTCTATTATATTTTTCTGTTTGTGAATATGTAGTACTCAAGTAGAGAAGACTTAAGATTTCTTTCCCAGAAATCCAGAATCCCTTGAAGAGGAAATGATTTCTGTTATAAACAAAACAGCAATGTTACCTTCAAAAGAATTTTCCCCAGTGAAGCACGTGTAACATTGACTGCATGTTAAATAAAAACTACAGGAGGCTGAGGCAGGAGGATCGCTGCGAGCTCCAGGCCAGCCTGGGCTACAAAGTGAGTTCAAGACAGGCCTGAACTGCATTCTGAGACCCTGTCTCAAAAAGACAATAAGTAAATAAATAATTTTTTAATGTTTTGACTAACATCTTTTGTGAATGCTTGGAATCTTTTAAATACGCCTTATTTTTCTACCTTACAGTTCAGTGCCTCCTTTGCTCCCATGGTTAGATAAAGTGAAACCAGTTTGCACTGACTCGTATCTAACTACTGCTTCATGGTACATTAATTTTTCAGAAAAGGTGCTGAGTGTCACGGAACAGTTCAGTATTACTTACGTAGGTTTCTGTTAGTATCTTCCTCTTCTCTTTTTTAAAGTAATGGCAAGCCGGGTGTGGTGGCGCATGCCTGTAATCCCAGCACTTGGGCGTCTGAGGCAGGAGGATCGTTGTAAATTTGAGACCAGCCTGGGCTACAAAGTGAGCTCAAGGCCAGCCTGAACTGTGTAGTGAGACCTTGTCTCAAAAAAAGACCAAAAAAAAAAAAAAAAAAAAAGTAATGGTAAATACAACTAAATCCATTTGATTATCAGCATGTCAGCGGGGTTTCCTTTTTTAACCTTTGGCTTCATAAAGTGTTCAGCATCCTTTTACTGCTAGTGTACAAGGATAGAGTATCTTTGTGGGGTGAACAGAGGATCCTCATTGTAGAGAGAATGAAAGTAATGTAAATTAGAATGTAAAAAAACTGAGGCATAGAACTTAATATATTTTGGTGGTTTTATAGTGTAACTTAAAAGTAATCATGTAACTAAGATTCTTGTTTTTAACTCTGGGCTGTTTGTTAGTTTGGCCAAAGAGAGAACTGGTTGGTAAGTTTTGGACAAGTTAAGCTTTGAATATGGACTTGTGGCTCCTCCCTATATTTTTCTCATTTATTTATTTACTTATTTATTGATTGATCGATATTTTCCTTATGTCAGACAGGTAGCTTTTTTAAGCCAGAGAAGTTTTGTTCAGTTGAGCTATTTTAATTCACATCAGTGCTTTTGAGTTCGAGAAACAGTTAAAATATTGTACCTATATATTTTGTATAAAATTTTCTCATGAAATGCAGAATTTGATTATATTTTAATCTTCAGTTTTACATAATGATAGATATTAATCATAACAACTGATAATATTCAATTAGTTTGATTTTATAAGTAATTATAAAAGATATGCTGGGGTTGGGCATGATGGCACATGCCTGTAATCCCAGCACACTGGAGGCTGAGGCAGGAGGATTGCTGTGAGATCGAACTAACAGCAGCATGAACTACAGAGACCCTGTCTCAAAAAAAAAAGTTGTTCTGGGTATGGTTATGCATACTTGTAATCCCAGTACTGGGGAGGCTGAGGCAGGAGAATTGTTGCAAGTACAAGGCCAGCCTTGGCTACCCAGTGAGTTCAAGGCCAGCCTAAACTACATAGTGAGACCCTGTCTCAAAAAAAAAAAACAAAAAAAAAAAAACAAAAAAAAAAACCTTATAAAAGATATCACATTGTGCATGTTATAGGAGAATGTCTACTTAGCCACATAGTTTATATATGTAAATAATTTTATTTTTTAATAATGTGGGTGCCATTCTTGAGTGTGTTTTTTTCTGTTTGTCTTCGATTATTTTAAATATACAAACACTATAATAGTGTATTTTCCTGTTATCTATGTAAGGCAAGTCTAGTTGTATTTTTTTATAAATGTTTACAGGAATACACAAGCTTTACGTATTATACTTTTTTTCCATAGTCTTAAAATTGGATTTATAACAAAAAATGAAAAAGCGTTTTTCTGGTGAATTAAGACAATAAAAAGAGAAAATATAGAATGAGTCTGATCAGTTTCCCATTTATAAAGAAAAAAACAAGACTTCATTGTTTAATGTACACTCTTGTTTTCCTTACCCCTTATTAAGAGGTATTTATTAGTGTTATAAAACAAATGTATGATACTCTCATTCTGAAGTGAAGCAGAAACGCTAACCAACGTTCTATACTTTTTTTACGGGGGGGATTATTAAATTGCTCAGGTTAACCTTGAACTCCCGGGCTCAAGCAGTCCTCCTGCCTCAGCCTTCAGAGTAATTGGAGCTCCATCTGCAGATGTGCACCACCATGCCTGGACGGCATCTAACCATTTTTTTTTGGTACCGGGAATTGAACTCAGGACCTTGCACTTGCCAGGCAGGTGCTGTGCCAGAGCTATATCCCCGGCCCTAAGCAATTTTAAGAATATTACTTTCACTGATTAATCTTGTTGTGCCATATTAAAATTAAAACATAGATGAATAAAGCAGTCCTCACAGCCGTGGACAGAAACAGATTTTGTTTTTAAATGATTTGCTTTTTAATCTGTGAATGATGGGAAATCTCACTAAATGGTAATTTTTATTGATTTTAGTAGATAACAGGAATCACTCCGTAGTGACTTTGAGTACTTTCTAATACATTTGAAATGTTTTAATTTTTTAAATTTAGAATTTTTATTTTTTAAAGTTTTTGTGGTATTGGGGATGAACCTAGGGCTTGGGTCATGGTAGGGATGTGTTATTCCGCTGACCTACACCCTGTGCACCGTGTGTTGAACACTTAGTGTAGACAGTAAGACTTTTCAAATAATTTGGCTGTAGACTATTTTTAGATTTTAATTTTATTGTAGAAATAGTGGTGATTAAAAGTTATATTCTGTTGTGAAAGCTTAATATTTTATATATACTTAATTTGTATTTGAGTCTAATTTTAAATAAAATGTTTATACATTTGAATGCCTCCCTCTGTTTATTTCAGTGATCACTAGTAATGGTTGTTACTCACTGTATTTGCTGTTAATGGATAAAGTTCAGAATTGACTGGAAGTAGGACTCTACTGAAGAAAGTCTGGAATACTGTCATATAAATGAATTTACAAGAAGACAGTCAGCACCATGAAAATGGATATGAAGTGAAAGGAATGCTAATTTAGTTTTATTCAGTCTAGGTTCCATTATTTCTAGGGTACTCACTGAAACTGCACGCAGAAGAGCAGATCGCATCCCGCAAAGAGCACAGCGGACACGGCCAGGTGCTGGTCGGGACAGTGGGTACTGATCGTGCTGGCGGGTAAGCGAGCAGAAGCCCTCTCACTTGACATGAGGTTCACAGCCGTGGCACGGGAGAAAGGACAAGAGATTGCTTGGAGTTGATGTCCACTTCGACCTCCAAGAAGGCCCAGAGGGACTGCCCTTAACCGAGGTCCCCTCGGGGTCAGAGTCTGATAAAGAGCCCCGCGCTGAAGCTTCACTGGCTTTTTATTGCTAGCACCGGGAAGGAAGGATAAAAGACAACAGAAGCAGATCTGCGCAGACGTTCATGTAGGGCCGGGAAGGACAGGGTGGTCTGTTATGTTACACGACTGACTTCTGGGCCAATCTAAGTGATAAACTGGAGAGGAGAGGGCCAGAGCGGTCAGTCCTTAAGACAGTGCTTTGATGCTATTTCGGTGTGTAGTCCGTTTCTGTCTGGGGTGACAGGTGCCGAGAACAACGTACCGGCAGATGAAAAGAACAAGAGAGAAGGTTATGGGATCAGGGGCCTGCGGCCTCTTGGGCTGAAGCCTCGATTACCATCCTCCTTAGCCTCTTACTGGGATACAAACAAAAATCGCAACAGGGCAAATGGGAGGAGTCATTAACAGGACTGGCGACGGCATACAAGTCAGTTATCACAGGAATGAGACTTGACTTAGTTAGCCATCATGTTATCATTCCTTCGGGCATACGGGACACGGGTCCTGCTACCATTTCCTTTTACACTAATGCTTTGCTAGACTTCCTCCAGAATCAGTCATATGGCTTGGTGAGGCTCCAAGTCCCACATAGGTAGTACACTGAAAGGTAAACTGAAGAACGTCCTCCACAATGCTACTGGACTTGTTGTCCTGTAGGCGATCTTTTAAATTTAATCAGAAAACCAACTTTTGGGATTCAGCCAATAGGTGGTATCACTGGATGAACTGAAGTAATTATGGGCTTGTAGCTGAAGTTTATGCAACTGGACCTGTAGTCAGCACTGGGGAGTGGAAATGGGTCTGTTGAGACCAGCATGAAAGGTGCTATGGCCTGTACCCTGGATTTTGCACGAGGATTCACAATGATTACTGGAATCGGAGTGATGCGCATGGAGCAGTAACCGGTGTCACAGCTGAGCCTACGGTGTCTCCACAGAGCTTGTTGACTACTGCTTGCACAAGCTTGCCGACATGAGATTGCACGAGCACACTACTGGCTGATGGGATGGAAAGCGACCAACCACAGCGCTGTGTTTTGTATCCTGGGCGCTGATTGGTCTGTCTGTTCTCCCCACTGTACCCATACTTGGAGCATCTCTCTCTGTCTGCTTCACATCAGGTACCCATATAGAATTTTGCATGGTGTAAAGTGACGTAGGTTTAAGAGTGTAGAAAGTGTGTAAGAGCATATGAAGTGTGGAAGAGGTTAATAAGAGAGTGGGGAAGGTTTATAGGAGTGCGGGAAGGTTTATAAAGCCTTAACATATATGTAAATAATAAAATAAATATAAGGGGCTGGGGATTTAGCTCAGCGGCAAAAGCGCCTGCCTGGCAAGCGCAAGGTCGTGAGTTCGGTTCCCGGTACCGGAGAAAAACCA